CCTGTTTTGCAGGACAGCGTGCTCTGAAAGATAAAGGCAAGGGACAAGTCTAAATTGTTGATATTAGCTTGTTATGCATATGTATTAAAAATACATTTTGATAGTTCATGTTTTGTAATAATACTATTTTAGTATTATGAGAATGATGATGTGAATTATGTGTATTAAGATGTGAGGGTTGTTACAGCATGTACGGTGCGGGCCAAGGGAGACATCTAGGTGACTATTGGTGCCCCCAAAGTCGCTCGGAGTGTCCTCCTCGTTTTTATACCCGTTTTTTTAGGGTTTATTCCCATTTCTCCTTCCCATTCAATTCCTTTTCCCCGAGGGCGACTTTGCAGCTCGAGATATGATTTTGGAGCGTTTATACTTAAGGATCTCAAGTCTTCGTCAATGAGAGCTAGAATTTAAGAATTATGTTTCGAATCTAGGTTTAACCTAACCTAGCAAGGTGAGTTTCAAGTTACTTTGCGAAAACATCGTACATGTCAAAACGTCCTCCTTTTTGGTGTCTACTTGTTTTTATGAAGTTTTACATACCTGGTAAGTGATAAGTTGTTTAACTAACCATTTTTGCATTGGGTCTTGTATCAGGTAAATGTTTGGAACATACATATCATTTGATTTACTTGACTCCCTTAAGTTATAAACCATGAGATTTGTGGACATTTGATGAGTTTGAACTACAAACCAAAGTTATTGTAAGTACTAGTGGTTGATTATTTGACCCTTTTTGGGCAATTTACACATACACACACGTGTGTTCATAAGTGAAACTATGTTCACAGTAAAATATGTGTTCATTACTGATGCTTGTTCATAAGTGAACCGTGTTAGTAAGTGAACCCTGTTCATAAGTGAATCAAGACTTAAAAATTAGTGTCAACCCTGTTTTACAAGTGATCATGAACACATTCACCTATAAAACAATGTTCATGATACTGATCAGTGTCTTTGTTCATGGGTGAACGCTTATCATAAGTGTACCTTGATCATAAGTGAAACTTGTTCACTAGTTTCACTTTAAATTTGTTCAAGGTAAATCTTCATCTTTCTCTCTCTGTAAACTTGTTCATTGAGAAACTTGAAAGAGATGATATAATTATCATCCCTAAAATCGTGCAACTCTTTTTTGTAACATCCCGTTAAATTCATTAATTAAGAAATAACTAAAAACTGAAATTATCTCTGTATCCTTAATAATTGACTCCAACATGTTAATTAACAAGGACTAACAATGGTTTCTTAGGTGCAAATGGATTCGTATATCATTTGTTTAGTTAACAAAAGATCTTCCATACATACATATATATATATATATATATATATATATATATATATAGACTTGGGATCACGTGAGACCAACCTGTTTTTGTGAGACCCGTGAGACCAACTTTTTGCACTTGAAACTTCACAGCAAAATGCTGTGAAGGTAACCTTCACAGTGTTTTTGCTGTGAAGGTTCGACTTTTTTAAACCTTCACAGTGTTTTTGCTGT